TGATGCTGGATTCATAGAGGGAATTTGGAAGTTCTCCCTGTTTCTATCATTTTGAATAATTTAAGTAGTATTGGTTTATTGGTTGTCAATCTTCTTTAAATATATGGTAGAATTCTGCTGTAAATCCATCTTGACCTGGGCTTTTTTCAGTTGGGATGTTTTGTATTACTATTCCGATTTCCTTATATATTATGGGTCTATTTAAACTATCGATGTCTTCTTGGTTTAATGTTTGTGGTTTCCATGATTTTAGATATCCATCCATTTATTTTAGGTTTTCAAATTTAGTGGGGTATAGGTTTTTAAAGTATTCCCTTATAATGTTCTGGATCATTTGGGTGTCTGTTGTGATGTTTTCCATTTCATCTCTGATTTTGTTGATTTGGGTTTGCTCTTTCTTTCTTTTGATTAACTGGGATAAGGGTCTATCTATATGGTTTAGCTCTTCAAAGAACCAGCTCTTAGATTCATTGATTCTTTGTATTGTTTTCTTTTTTTCTATTTCATTCATTTCTGCTCTGATTTTCATTATTTCTTCTCCTCTGTTGGATTTGGGTTTCATTTGTTCTTGCTTTTCCAGAGTCTTCAGTTGCAATGTTAAGTCATTTATTTTTGTTCTTTCCGATTTTTTAATGTAGGCACTTAAAGCTATATCTTCCCTTCTAGAACTGCTTTTAAAGTGTCCCAGAGGTTTTGTTGTATTGTAGTGTCCTTTTCATTGAATCCCAAGAATAATTTTGTTTCTTTCTTAATTAACAGAAGAATTAAGACACACTTTGACACACACACACTCATCATTCAGGAGTGTGTTGTTTAATCTCCATGAGTTCATGTAGTGACTAGGGCTTCTTCCAGTGTTGAGTTTAAGCTTTCTTGCATTGGGGTCTGATAGAATGCATGGAATCATTTCAATTTTTTGTATTTGCTGATTTTTGTTTTGTGCCCAGTATGTGGTCAATTTTTGAGAAAGTTCCATGGGATGCTGAATAGAAAGTGTATTCTTTGGTGCTTGGGTAAAATATTTGGAAGATATCTGTTGGGTCCATTGGATGTATGGTATCATTTAATTCAGATGTCTCTCTATTTTTTGTGTGGTTGACCTGTCTAATGGAGACAGTGGGGTCTTGAAGTCCCCCACTATTACTAAGTGAGGGATAATCTGTCTCTTAAAGTCCTGTAGTGTTGTTTTTATGAATTTGAGTGCACCAGAGTTTGGTGCGTATATGTTCAAGATTGCAGTATCATCTTATTTGTTCCTTTGATCAGAATTAAGTGACCCTCTTTATCTCTTTGGATTAGCTTTCATTTGAAGTGGATTTTGTCAGATATTGGAATTGCAACCCCTGCTTGCTTTCTTAGTGCGATTTGCTTGAAATATTCTTTTCAATCCTTTCACCTTGAGGTAGTACCTGTCTTTGTTGGTGAGATGGGTTTCTTGCAGACAACAAAAAGATGGATTTTGTTTCTTAATCCATGCAACTAGCTTGTGTCTTTTGATGGGGAGTTCAGTCCATTGATATTTAAAGTTATTATTGAAGGATGTGTATTGTTTGCCATCATTTTTATTACTGTTTGCATTCTTTGTCTACTTTTGTGTTTTCACAATTATACCTTCATTTAGTTTCTTTCTGTTACCCCTGGAGTATAGCTGTTCCTTCCTGTGTTCTTTGCATTGCTTCAAGTATTCTTTGAAGGGCTGGTGTTACGGACATGTATTCTTTCAGCTTATTCATGTCATGGAAGATTTTTCTTTCCCCTTCAACTATAATAGACATTTTTGCTGGGTGATGTATTCTGGGCTGGTATTTATTGCCATTTAGAACTGGGAATACCTTTGTCCAGGCTCTTCTGGCTTTCACAGTTTGCATTGATAGGTCAGCTGTAATTCTGATGGCCTCTCTTTTATATGTCACTTGATGTCACTTGTTTCTCTTTTGCTGCTTTCAGTATTCTCTCTTTGTTCTGTACATTTAATGTGTTTACTGTGATATGCCATGGGGAGTTTCTTTTCTGGTCCTGAATATTTGGTGTTCTATATGCTTCTTGCATTTGTATGGGGATATCTTTCCTTAATTTTGGGAAGTTCTCATCTACAATCCTGTTTAAGATCTGGTCAATATCATTAACCTGAAATTCTTCTCCTTCCTCTATGCCTATGATATGTAGATTTGGCCTTTTCATGGTGTCCCACATCTTCTGCATATTCCATTCGTGTGTTTTAAAATTTTTATCATAGTCTTTGCTTGAGCGGTCCAATTCTTCAACTTTATCCTCCAGTGTTGATATTCTGTTTTCCATCTCATTCATTCTAGTGGTGAGGCTTTCTCCTGTTGTTTCAAATTGGCTTATTGAGTTTTTCACTTTCTTCTTCATTTTTGCCTGAGCTTTTCTTCAATGTTTTTGTCTCTTTTGTGAATTCAGTCAGAAATTTATACCTGTAGACTTTTAGTTCTTCAATTATTTCTTTTTGTGTTCTTTAAGTTCGTTGAATTCCTTGATCATGTTTATGATTATTCTTTTAAATTCTGTGTCCTGGGCTATCTCTAGGGGGTTATTCTTGTAGAACTCTTCTGCAGGACTGGTGAAGTTTGGTGGGAATATACTATTTTGATTTTCCATGTTATTATTTTTTGTTGTGATTTTGGCATGTGTTTTGATTTTTCCTTTCTTGTTTGTGATTCTAGCATGAAACTCAAGCCTTCTTTTGTTGATTTGAAGTTGGCTTCTGTTTGTATTATTGGTGTGCCTTGGTTGTTTTCTTATTGGGTATGTAAAGCTGATTGGTTAGGTTTCAGGTTCTTTCAGATTTTACTTTGGAGGGAACTGATGGCTTCAGATCAGCTACTTAGGACCTCCCACAGAGGCCCAAGTCAGGTTCCAGTCAGGTACACTCAGGCTTCCTTCTAACATTTGGACTCCTACTAGCAGATACTCAGAGCACAATTTGGGAAGTTCCCTAAGGGGAGGCCCAATTTTGGGAAGCTCAGGTGGTCTGCTGAGTTCTCAGCCCCTAGGCCAGAGGGAGGTCTGCTAAGGTCTCAGTCCTACCGTACTGTAGGGCAGAGAGGTCTACTCCTGGTGTTGTTGGGAGGGTCCTCACATAATCTCAGTTAGGGGGTTGGGTACTGTGTGATTTGGAGGAGCTTTGGGGAAGCTCACCCCCACATAGAGGCAGAACCAGGTGCTCTCAGGCAGTCTGCTGAGGTCTGAGTGCCTACACCAAGCAGAGGCCAGGTCTGGCACTATCAGATTGTCTGGGTTCTACTCATCTCCATTCTTTAGTTGGAGAGCTAAGATAATTTATAATCAGAATTAATATTGAGAGGTTTTTTCATTCTGATAATTACTTTAGTTTTGTCCTGATTAGATCAAATGCTATTTGTTTTTTTATCCATATTCATTTCAGGGATTTGTTGGTTTACCCTCACCATCTTTGAAGGGCTTTATTGTACTTTTTAACATCAATGTACTATAAGATTTTACTTTCATTTAAATCCTTATATTAAATAATCTCCTTTGGGGGCTTTGCTATAAAATAACTCTCCTTGTCAGGAGTTTTCCTTACTCTTGTTTCTCTCACATGTGTGTAGGTGGCAAGGTGGCTTAGAGTTCGGAAATCAGATATTAACTTTCTGCTGTCAAGGAAATTCTGGGTGGAGAAAGAAGAGAAACCAGTGCATGAAGCTGTCTGTGTGGCTTCGAGAGCGGTGAAAGCTGAACCCACCAGAAAATGATACAGAAGGATCCAGAAACACCAGTAAAAGCCAGGAAAATTTCTCCAGTGATCGGGGACTTGAGGCTCCATGAGGAGACTATCATTTGAGAGGCAATGGAACTGAAGCAGCCTACAGAAGGGACAAGTCAGCTGATGGACCTCAGGCTGCTCTGAGTTTTCCACCACCATGCACAGAAGTTAAACCAGGACAGACCGCTCCTGAGAATGAAGGAACCATCACATCTGACCCCTGCACAGAGACTCCAGTTCAAAATAAGAATGTCAAGTTTTTCATGTGTCTTTGGGTCCTTCATGTGACAAGACTGAACACATCCAGTTTTCCTCAGATGAGGATATTGTGCTGAACATCCTTGTCCACACACCCTACTGCATTTGTACTGAGTCATCGGGCTGCATTTCTAGAGGGAGAGCTCTAGCTAAGAAGAAAACACTTTTTAACTGCTATTGACCTTTGTAATCAGGAAAGTTTTGTGGTCACCAAAGCAACTGTAATTGTAAACAAGTATTTTGTTCCCTTTTCAAACGACTTTGGCTCCTTGGCCAACAATATGCTTCTCCAACTGGAAATTTTGGCTGAGAACTACAGTGAGTAGGAAGAGATGATAGAGATCAATTCAGAAGGACTTCACCACCTCCTAATGGAGACAGGTAAGCACAAGTAGGCACGAACTGTGAGCCAGGATCCTGTAGTCATTTGCCAAGAAGACAATGACTTTGGGAAAACACATTGAACTGCTACTTGTTGATCGTCTCTGAAGAAAATGAAGGAAACACACGGGAAATAGCTAAATCCCTAAAAATTATTTATCATATGGTAATGAAGGAACTCTAGGATCCAATAAAAGCAACGTGGAAGAAGGCATTATATTATAAATCTGCTTTATTTAGCAATTACCAGAAAGCAAAGATCAGAGAAGGGCACAGACTCTGTACGTCACAGGACTGGTCACTTGTGCTATCACAGTTACTGCCAGGGAGGTTCCCAACACTGGAAATGGGGTTTCCTCAGACCTGGAAACTAAAGGGGAACTTCCCCTTCTCTCAAGTAGAACCCAGACAATGATTTCCAGAATGAAAGGGAGAGAGATACCCTCTCACAGAAGGCCTCAGAAACAGAAGTCAGGAGGCAGGAGCCTGGTAATCTAGATACAACAGAAGCACCAAATGTGATCGGATTGTGATGTGAAGTCAGAGGTTGAGGTCTAAAGCTGAGCAATGGGCACCCAGGAGGAGCAGATTCAGAGGAGTAATGAGACATGTGGCCCCTCAGCTCCACCTAGAGAGCAGAGGTGGAGGCCAGCAAGACTAGCACCTGAGCAGAGGGTCTGCAGCCAAGGGGACCAGGGGTCAGGGGACAAAGGCCTGGAGCAGGACTTCAGTGCCGGTAGCTCTTCCTGCTGGAGGAGGTGGTCGTGGTGTACTTGACGGTAGAAGAGCTGCCACCGGCGGAGCTGAGGCCACTCCCGACGCCTCTGCCACTGCTGGAACTGAAGCCCCCGCCAAGGCCATGGCCACTGCTGTAGGAGTAGCTGCTGCTTCCGCCACCCAGGCCGAAGCCACTGCCCGCACCGCTGGCGCCGCCATAGCCGCTGGAGACGGTGGACTGCACCACAGCTGTAAGGGGGAGAGGACACAACAAACACGATGAGCTCGCTCTGTCCACTGATCCGGGTCCCAAGGGCTGGGCGGGGAGGCAGGCAGCACAGTACTTACAGATGTTGACTGGTCCGACACCTTCACCATTCAACCTAGGGCAGGAACACAGCAGGTGAGAACTAGGCAGCCATCACCCCAACCCTGTGGGAAGCCTCACTCTGGAGACCGTTCATCCCGACAGTAGCCATATGGCCACAGCTGGTGCTGCCCAGCCTTGGGCTCGGTGCCTCAGGCTCTGGAGACGTCCCCAGAGGACGGAGGTGTGAGTTACCCACCTGCACTCCTCTCCTTCCAGCAGCTTCCTGTAGGTGGCAATTTCCACATCCAGGGCCAGCTTGACGTTCATGAGCTCCTGGTACTCCTTCATGAGCCTGGCCATGTCCTGCTTGGCCTTCTGCAGGGCGTCCTCCAGCCCTTCCAGCTTGCTCCTGGCATCCTTGAGGGCCATCTCTCCACGCTGCTCAGCATCAGCAATGGCGGCCTGCAGGTTGGCGCACTGGGTAGGGAGAGCAAGAGAAATGAACTTGAAGTGTGCTTCTGTAGAGAGGGTTAGCCTTAGATCTTTGTACCTATAAGGTCAAGTCTAGGAGACTGGAAATAATGAACACAACCTCCGATTCTTTCTGTCTCCGTACCTGCTTCTTAACGTGGTCGATCTCAGATCTCAGCCTCTGGATCATGCGATTGATCTCAGCAATCTCTTGCTTGGTGTTGCGCAGGTCATCCCCGTGTCTGCCTGCTGTGACCTGCAGCTCCTCGTACTGTGGGTCAATTGAAGAGGGAAAATTCATACCGGTTTTTCACATGCAAACAAGCAAGTTTACTTCTAAGTAAGGCATGAAATAACACTGATATTTATGTAAAGTCAAGAGACACTTTAGCAGACCATAAGTTGACAGTTACTTAGGGACTGACAGTGCTCTGTTCTGTTTCCTGAGGGCTAGTATTCAGACGGAAACTGAATCAAAGGCAGCAAGGTCTTTATCTATGACAGCTCTCCTTCTGCCTCTGGGCACTTTTGCTTCTTAGACTAGAGAAGAATTCTACAAGTGAAAGTTATGTTTGCTGTGAGAGGACTCCAGCTTCTTTTCAGTAAATCTCCAACCTCCAGTGAATTCAGGGACTTTTGGAATTCAGAGTGGGACCTTGACATTCCTCGGTAGCTGCCTATTCACCACTCACCTTGGTCTGGTACCAGGACTCAGCCTCAGCCCGGCTTCTCTGAGCAATCTCCTCATACTGGGCCTTGACTTCGGCAATGATGCTGTCCAGGTCCAGGCTGCGGTTGTTGTCCATGGACAGGATCACGGATGTGTCTGAGACATGGGTTTGCATCTGAGACAGTTCCTGTGGAACAGAAGAGCCCAAGGTCATCTTTACCTATGGAGGATCAGAGGTTTCCAATACCCCATTCTCCCTCCCTTGCAGAATCCCATCAGAGAAAATGAAGGAGGGAGAGACGCTTACTGCCTCATACAAAGCTCTCAGGAAGTTGATCTCATCTGCCAGGCTATCTGCCTTGGCTTGCAGCTCAACCTTATTCATATAGGCAGCATCCACGTCCTGGGAAAAGAGCCAACAATGTGTTGTCAAGTGAGCCCTCTCGTTCAGACCACTCGCCTCCATCTCCCTGGCAACCGTGCTCTGGGATGGACCAGAACGGAACACCACTTTCCTCCTCCAGCAGGAATCCCATCCCCGTGCCTTCACCAGCTCACCTTCTTCAGAGTCACAAATTCGTTCTCCGCTGCCGTGCGCTTGTTGATCTCATCTTCATACCTGTAAGAAAGGTGCGCACATTGGAGCCACTGGGTGGACGGTACCAGCTGCAGCCTGTGATCCCCTACTTTCTATAACTGAAATACAGCCACATCTGGCCAGAAGGTGATTTTTGTTGTTACTAAATAATTCAGTTTTTACTCTCCTCCAACCTCCTTAACCCCACTTTGCTTTTACGTTTTTGCTCTTTGGCAATAATTTGTTATTTTCATGTGAATACATTCTCTTAACAAATGGAGTCTATGTCTAAACTTGGGCCTCCAGTGTCTTAAGCTTTGGGAAACTGAGCCCTTTCCTCTTTCTAACTCACTTGTTCTTGAAGTCCTCCACAGTGTCCTGCATGGTCCTCAGCTCTGAGTCCAGGCGGCCTCTCTCGCCCAGGATCCCATCCAGCTGCCTGCGGAGGTTGCTGATGTACTGCTCGAACAACGGCTCCAGGTTCTGCCTCACAGTCTTGGTGCCCTGCTCCTGCAGCAGGGTCCACTTGGTGTCCAGGACCTTGTTCTGCTGCTCCAAGAACCGCACCTGGAGAGGGCCGGGTGTGAGAAGGACAAGTCTGGGCTTTGTGCTTCTGACCCTTTCGCCAGCAGGTGCCTTCCATCACAGGCTATCTCCCCAAACCCACCCTGTGTGCAGTGCCTGGCCCTGGTTCTGAGAGGGACAATCTGGAGTGAAGCTCCCAACATCCCCCCTCTACTGAAGCCAAGTCCCTCCTGCACTGCACAGCCAGCACTGCAGTGGCTCATTGCAGTGTGGTCCAGTGCAGGGGATCTGGGAAGCTGACTGCCCTGCGGCTGCTTCTGCCTCTGTGCAGTCTTCCCGTTATGTGAGGCACTGAGCTCATCCCTGTGCACTGTGATCAGGCACCCTTATGGGGCAGCCTCTGGAGGAGAGGAAATCAGACCCTGCCTTTCATCGGCCAGCCTAAATAGGAGCACAAAGCCACAGAAAACCAGCTAGAAACAACGGTGGCACTGGAGCAAAGCCTAAAGCCTCCCCTGTTCAGCATTTAAACACTCGATTGTCTACTAAGGAACGTGTCTCACCTTGTCGATGAAGGAGGCGAACTTGTTGTTGAGGGTCTTGATCTGCTCTCGCTCCTCAGTCCGCACCCGCTGGATGGTGGGGTCGATTTGCAGGTTCAGAGGAGTGAGGAGGTTCTGGTTGATGGTGACCTCTTGGATGCCTCCAGGTGGGCACACGGGGAAGCCAGCGCCCCCATAGCCACCACCGAAGCCAGCTCCACCACCGAACCCAAAGGCACCACCAGCTCCACCACCAAAGCCAAATCCACTGCCGGCTCCTCCTCCATAGCCAAAGCCTCCTGAGACGCGGCCGCCGTATCCTGCTCCGATGCCACAGCTGCCCCCTCCGATGGAGATCCTCTGGGAGCCGCCAACACCATAGAGGCTCCTGCTGCCAAAGCCGGCTCCTCCACACACTGCCCCGCTGCCACCGCTGCCCCTGGAGCGGCTCACAGACACACTGCTGAAGCCAGAGCGGTTGAGCCTGGGGACTCTGGCTGAGCTGGCGCTGAAGCCACGGTGGCTGCTGGTTTGGCTCCGCACAGTGGTCTTGGTGGACATGGTTCCTGGAGATGAGAAGACTGGGAAGCGGAGATGCTGAAGGGCAGAGCTGAGCAGATGAGTGTGAAGCGCTCAGGGCAGCGGTTTATATGCTGTGCAGATGGGCTGGGCTGGGTCCCGAGGTGAGCTTGCAGAGTGGGCAGGGCTAGGCTTTACCTACAGTGAGGTCATACCTAGATCATTAGAAAATGTTACGAAACCTTGAGATTGCAGTTTTGGCTTCCTTCAGTCAGGAAAATGCTCTGCCTCTAGTTTTGACTTGATCTGAGTTCAGTCAGTCAGTTCTTGATTCAGTGTAGCCAGAAGTTAGTCACTGTCTCAAAGGCTCTGCATGTCCTGATGGTGCCCATGAGAGGTCTAAGAGCCCTCCTTCTCAGTGCCTGCTCCTTGCCTGTGGAGCTGCTGGGGTTCAAGTAGTATCTTAGGCCAACAGAAAGGCCATAGCTGTGTCTCAGTGAGTGAAAATATTACATTGGACTTGTTTTCCTTTAGGTCCCACGTGAAACAGAAACATTGAAGGTGTTTGCCTTTACATTCCTCCCCCCAGATGTAACAGGTTCATCTCCTGGACAGCCTTCTTCCTTTGTGTGTGTCTGATTCACTCACTAACTCAGTCGATTTGAAAGAAAATCACATAAATGATTATTTACCTAGTAGATAAGTCAATATTGTATCTGTTTATGAGTAGACCAAATTTACCTTATGTCTTAAAAGTGGATATATTCATTAACATCAAGATAGGATTGAAGGACTGGAGAGGTGGCTCAGTGGTTAAGAGCACTGAGTGCTCTTGGAGAGGAGCTGATTTGATCCTCAGCACCCACATGGCAGCCAACCACCATCTGTAAGCCCAGTTCCAGGGGAATTCAACACCCTCTATTGACCTCTGTGGGCACTGCACGACATGTATGCACTTAACATACATACAAGCCATACACCCATACACATGAAATAATAAATAAAATATTTTTTAAAAAAGAAATGATTGAAATCACATGGTTGAGCTCCAGCACCCTCGTTAGTTGTCCTTATTTTTAAAAAATATTTTGGTTTCTTATTTTTCCAAATCTTTTTCATTCATGTCTTAATTGGGTCATACTTCTTAAATAATTTTACATAATCTGTAATTCTGGCATGATCTTCTTTCTCTGAGTAACTTTGTTAAGGAAACCAGGCGAATTGTCCTTTGATGTGTTCCTGATGTTTTGTTTTTTTTTTTTTCACCTGCCTGCTCGTGGTGTTTCCTTTAGCAAGCTCCTGCGTCCACCATGTCTTCAGTAAACTGACATTTAAATCTTGAAGCTTAATAAGATTTTCTATATAGTCATGCTTTTCAAAAGTGAATGCCCTGGGAGGCTGGAGAGATGAGTCAGTGGTTAAGAGTGCATACTGTTCTTACAGACCACCCAAATTTGGTTCCAATGCCCATGTGTGGTGGCTCACAACCACTTCGGGCATCCATGTATACATACCCAGACACATACACTTAATTAAAAGTAATCAAATAACTGCTTTTTAAAAAGTATATGCCCTAGAAAGCATGTTTAGATATTGAACAGTTACATGTTATTTATTTTTATGTTGACTATGTAATACATGTTTAAGGAACAAGATCCATGCTAAGGTCGTTTCCCAAGAATTCAGTTTCTGTATTTCAAAGCAAACAGCGTTATTGCTTCCTTGTGAACCCTTTGAGTCACTTCCTTTTGATATGTTTCTGTGCTTTTCCTTTGTATATTTGTGAGAGAGTTGAACTGTTTGTTTCATGGATGTGTTATCCATGTTTCCTTGTTATGTGCGCACATGTTACGTGTTCTCTTCTACAGTGGTGTTTGTGTTATGGCCATGCCATCTCCCATTTCCGCTTTCACGCTCTGTTTCCGTTCCATGATCCCTTTCCAGAACTGTATGCCTTCACTATCTTTTCCTGGATGCCCGTTGGTGGCCCTCACCCGCGCCTTTCCCGTGTGCTCTAATCTCATTTGTTTCTCTTGTGCCTTGATTTTTTCCTTGTCTTTTTCTGACCTTAGCAAACTCAGCATACTATCCATTCATTCTTATCTTATTGTTGAGATTATTGAATTTCTCATTAATTCTTCAATGTGCCTAATTTTCTGTTAGAATTACATGTCTTTGTTTTTCCTAATTTCTTGTTGGAGTGCACAGATCTTACACGGATCCCTCAGTGGTTCCTTTCTGTGCAGCGATCATCTTTGGATGAGAGGAGCACTTTCTGATGTGACATTCACATAAGCATCCTGGGAGGAGGAACTGGGACATTTCCAGGCTAACAGGAATTCTCCTTATGACACATACACAGTGAATAATCTTTTAATCTTTAATTCAGCAAACCCAACAATGGTCATTGCACAGTGATTTATGAATCACAGGCCCTCTGCTTTCTTTGCCTCACCACAAAAATGCTCTGGTATGCAATAAAAAGCTGTCAACTTGGCTGGACTACAGGATGCCCAGATATTTGGTTAAACATTTTCTGTATATGTCTGTGAGAGTGTTTCTGGATTAGATGAAAATTTTTGGTTGACTGAGTTAAGCAGGCTGTTTGATCTCAATGGGCTGGTCCATTCTGTCAGCTTAAGTCTTTAATATAATAAAAGGCTGAGTAAGTGGAAAATGTTCTCGAGTGACTGCCTTTGAGCTAGGATACTGTTTTTTGTTTTTTTTTTCCTACCTTCAGACTCAGACTAAAACATCAGCATGTTCTGAGTCTTGAGCCTGCTGTGTTTTGGACTAGAAGAAAACAGTGGCTCTGCGGGCTCTCAGGCCTTGAGATTGGCCTGAGCAACGTTACTGTATCTCTGGGCCTCTTGACTCACTGACTACAGGTCTTAGGACTTCTCAACCTCCAAACTTATATCAAAGAGTTCATACGCATCTTCACTCCTTCCATCCCCCTCTCTTGTTCCTTTTATCTCTATCTTTATCTCGATCTGTCTTTATGTTTGAGAAGTTTTAGGTTCTGAGCAGAACTGTATGTATTTCCTACTGTTTTGGACTTAGGGTGGATCACTGTTCCATGAGTATTCTGATCTCAGGATTATTAGTCATGCCTCCATGGGAATCAACCTTAAACGTGGAGTAGTTACCACATACAGTTCTGTTTCCTTTAGTCTCACATGTCCCACTCACTCCCAGAGGTGCTTGATCGGCTTTTTACACCCCTCCCGCCACTATGTTTTAGTAAGATTGACTCATCTATTTGTAATCTTAAAGATCCTTTTGTCTCATTGCACTTTCCTTCTTGAGTTATCTTGATCTCGCAAATTATTATTTTTGCTTTCAAGAATTAAGGTCACTCTGGAGTATAAAATTCTATAAAAGGCAGCGTTAATGAAATCTCTATGAAGATAAACTATAGCCCAGGAGAAATACTTGAAAAAATAAAGGACAAAGACTGTTATAAAAATATACAACAATTAGCAGGAAACCATTCAATTAGAAATAGGCCAGCTGGTCGTCGTGGGACACACCTTTAATGTTAGCACTCGGCAGAGGTAGGTGGATCTCTGTAAGATCCAGGAAAGCCTGGTCTGCATAGTGAGTTCCAGTGGGCTGGGACAAGGAAGACTCTGTCAAAAACATCTCACTGAATTATGCATGCAGATGACAAATGAAAGATGCTCAAAATTGTATGTCATCAGAGAAATACGAATTCAAAGAATGAGATGTCACTGTATACCTAGAATGACCAAAATCCAGAACCCTGACACCTCCAGTGTTTGTGATGCTATGGAACAAGAGATACTGTCAGTCACTTCTGGTGGATTATGAAATGGTCCAGCCCATTTAGAATAGAGTTTCGCAGATTCTGAACAAAACTAAACTCAATCCTAACAGAAAATTCAACAATCAGTCTTCTTGGCATTTACCCAAATGAGTTGGAATTATGCCACTAAAAAACCTGTACAGGGACATTTATAGCAGCTTTAGGCCTAAGTGTCAAGATGTAGAAGAAACCTAGCTGTCCTCAGACAATGGAATATTATTTATCATTTTAAAATTAGCTATAAATCCATGAAAAGGCAGAGAGGAAAATTAAATGGACATTCTCTTAAACACTATATGCTGTATGGTATTTTGGAAACTGGGGACAGCAAAAATATAAGTGGTAGCCAGGATTGAGGGGAGGTAGGAGATATAGATGGATATGAACTTTGGAGCAAGTAGACAATTCTGTATAATGTATAGTGCAATGATGTTGTAGTGGGACTGTTCTGTTAGTACTGTGGTAGCAGACACGTTATGTGTTTTCCAAATCCAGCAGAAGGCACAAAACTAGGAATGAAAAGTGTAGTGGTGACCATGCACGCACAGGATTTCTGTAGTAGAGGATACAGGTTAGGGGTACACGGGGCCACCTTCCCAGCCCCAGTTTCACGTCTGCATTTCTACCATGTCTATCTGTTTTTGCTTTTTCTTGAATTCTTGCTGCTGTCAGGTTTACAGTGAAATGTGAAGAGCAGTGGAGAGATGAGATATGCCTGCCTACCTTGTCTCAACCCTGGGGAGAAAGGATCAGTCTCCCACTGTAAGTACGAAATAGCTTTAGACTGTTTTAGATGCTCCTCAGTAGCACCCTGAAGGTACAGCCCCACATTTGTCACTTGCTGTGACTTTCTGGATTTTTAATCATGACTGGGCACTGCTCTGTGTCGTAAACCTTTTTGTACTTGTCATAATCGCTTGATTTTCCTTTGTTAGCTGTTTTTTGTAACGTTATTTTTATGTTATGTGTATGAGTGTTTTATCTGCGTGTATGCAAGTGTACCACATGTACGCGGTGCTGGGAAGGCCAGAGAGGATTTGGGCCCCCTGGAACTGGAGTGATGGACAGTTGTTAGCCATCAGAGAACTGAACCTGTGTCTTATGCAAGAACAACCAGTGCTGTTAACCACAGAGCAAACTCTTGGCCCCTTTCTTTAGCTGTTTATGTGGGGAAAAGCGCTGATTGTTTTTGAATGTTGAACTAGCTTTGGCTATCTCCATAAATTCATC